CGAGAAATGGCCATTGCCACTCGTGCGTTCTGCAGGGCTGTCCGGCCCCTCGGGCTGGTGCTGCAGATGGATAAGTCCGGGCACCTTGCGACGTCCAGGCGCACCAGCTACCACTTTCAGAAGTACGCTAGGCTGCTGAAGATCGCTGGCAAGAGGCACATGCGGTACCTTGGCCACGACCTAGCTGGGTCGTCGGCCACAAGGGCCGTGCTGAAGGGACGCCTGAAGGCCATGCACGGCAAGAAGGCCAGCGTTCGAGCACTGCAGAAGGGAGCAGGACGACAGCGGGCGGCTCGGCTCTGGGCCACGGGTGTGCTGCCATCCGTGGGGCACGGAGCCACGGTCAGCGGCATCAGCGACACGGAGCTGCAGCAGATGAGGACCATGGCTGGCGTCTTCTGTGGCTACAAGGGGTCGGGCTCCCTGACGCTGTACCTGGCCGCGCAGCAGTGGAGCTTCGACCCCATATTCCACGCTACCTTCAGCATCGTGGGGCAGTACGCGGCGTGGGTGTGGGATGGGCGTGTGACGCTCTCCCGACTGCAGCGGGCCTGGATGGGCTTGCGTGACTCCTGGGAAGCCCGCCACACTCACGTCACGTGGGCCAGTGCGCAGGGCCCGCTGTCGGCCTTGTGGTTGTCCCTCAGGAGAGTCAACTGGAACATGGCAAGTTCTACAATCTTGGTTGACGATGAGGGCCTGCATATCAGTTTGCTGCAGTATTGTCCCAGTGAGGTGCTGTTTTTCCTGCGTCGCAGCCTCGACCGTTGGCAGAGCCATCGCATCCTCGACCAGCTGCCTGAGGCGCCCCCAGCCGATGGTGACGGCAGGCGGCAGCAGCATGTGTGGCTTCGTGCGCTTCGACTGGGACACGCCTCCTTGGCGCCTGGCCACAGAGGGGCTCTGGCCAAGCTGCAGTCCAACGGGTTCTGGTCGCCGCAGCGCCGCATGCAGGCTGGCTACGGCGGCGACGGTTCGTGCGAGTTCTGCGGGGAGGCCTGCTGCGACCTCGAGCATGAGATCTTCGGCTGCAAGGTATTGCATCAGCAGCAGGAGGACGAGGAGACGGAGCCGTACCCCGAGGAGGTGGCCAAGAGGAGGAAGGACATCCTGGAGGCAGCCCCGTGGCGCGACGGGGGCCAGGTGCAGGACTTCTCGGCCATCGACGTGCTCTACGCGCTGCCCCTGAGGCCTGTTTTCAGGCCGCTGCCTGCACGTGCTCAGGCTGAGCGCGAGTGGGGGGCGATCGACATGCCGTGGCCGTCGAAGTTGTACGGGGACGGGTCCTGTCTTGAAAGTGATTTCCCTGAGGAACGGCGCTGTGGCTGGGCCGTCGTGGCATTGACCCGAGACCTGTGGCCATACAAAGCTTTGTTCGGGAGCCTGGGGGGCCCTATCCAGACGGTGCCCAGGGCCGAGCGCGTTGCTGGTCTCAAGGCCCTGCAGAGGGCCCAGAGGCCAGCCACGTACGTGACTGATCATTTACAGCTGCAGGTCGAGGGAATGGCCTGGGAGGGTCGTCATGCTTCTGCCAGAGCGCCTCACGCGTCCATCTGGCGGAGCATCCACGAGCTGTATAGAGGCGACCCTGTCAGGCCCGTGTTTGTTTGGACGAAGGCCCATCGGACCGTCATCGAGGGGTTTGATGCCTGCCTGGCTTCCCAGGAGCCCCTGGAGCATTTTTTCGGTAATATGTGGGCTGATGTTTTCGCCCGCGTGGCTGCGGCAGATTTCCTTGGATCCACCTCCGTGGTCAAGGCTCACAAATTTTCTCTGCTTCGGGCCCAGGACACGATGCGTTGTCTGGCCTGGGCTGCCGAGCGCGTGGCCCGCCTCTCCACCCCGATACTCCGTGCGCCTCCGAAGGCTGTCTTTCGGCCCCGCCGTCCGCGGCGGCCGACCGATCACGACTTTGTGGTCTTCGCTGGGGGAGCGATTCGATGTCGAGCCTGCTGGAGGCTTGCAGCGACGGCTTCGTCGTTGAAGTCTCTGGCCTCCCGTGCATGCGACCCCCAGGAGGTCGGGCCAGGACACCAGGTCCAGGCCTTGGATCGAGTTTTGATCTGTGTAAAGTGCGGGGCGCACGCTGTGCGCCCCAATCGGCTGTCGGTCGGCCTGTCTCGAGCGTGCAAGAGGGCTGGGACGGGGTCGGCGGGAGCTGGGAGTGGGGGGGACGGAGCTATCGCGTCGATGCTCGAGCAGGCTCGAAGGGGCCTGCATCCCAAGACGGGCGAGCCCCTCGAGCCGCTCGTCTTCTCGGAGCTCGGGGAGCCTGCGATGCCGCAGCAGGCGCCCGAGCCCGAGGCACCTGCATAGTGGGCGGAGGTACAGGCGTGGGTTTGTCTTCCCAACGGGGGGCGCGGTGCGAGTGGGGACTGCCCGGCGTTGCGCCGTTAGTGACCCTCGCACCGTTGCTCCCCGGCCCCGCGCACAGCGCGGTGAGTGCCCCTTGTTGGGTGAGGGTCTCTCTCTCGTCCCTTTTCCTTTTCGAGGCGTGTTCGTGATTCACCTGCACGCTCTCGGCACTGTCCTCACTGTCCCCCCCTGTCTGCTTATTCCGACCGACCGACCGTCCCCCCCCCCCGTGCCTGACCGTGTCTTCTCGTGCCCGCCTCCCCGTTCCCCCCGTCCCGCCCCCCCTCCTCCCCCCACTGCCCGACCGTGCCTCCCCGTGCCCCCCCCTTTCCTCCCGCGCGCCCCCCCGTCTGCTTTTCCCGACCTATTGACCGCACTCCCCCCCCCCTCTGCTCGACCGTGGCCCCCCGCGCCCCCCCCCCTTCCCCCCGTGCCCGCACCCTCTGCTCATTCCGGCCGACCGACCGTGCCCCCCCCTCCCCCTTGCCCGACCGTGGCACCCCGTGTTCCCCCCCCCCCCCGTGGCCCCCTTATTCCGACCGACCGACCGTGCCCCCCCCCCCCCTGCCCGACCGTGGTCCCCCGTGCCCCCCCCCATTCCTTCAGTCCCCCCCCCCTCTGCTTACTCCGACCGACCGACCGTGATTCCCCCCCCTCTGCCCGACCGTTACCCCCCGTGCCCTCCCCGTCTCCACCCGGGCCCTCTCCCTCTGCTTCTTCTCTGCTTCCTCCGACCGACCGATCGTGCCCCTCCCTTACTTGCCCGACGGTGCCCCCCCGTGCCCCCGTCCTCTCTGCGTACTCCGACCGGCCGACCGTGGCGCCAAAGTATTTCGACCATGGTCCCGACGAGCTCACAGTGACATAACACGTGTTCCACAGCAAGGCTCCCCAGAGCGAGCGATGTTGCAAGAGTTCGTCGAACATGTATTATGTGTGTCTCTTGGGGCCCTTCGGAAGGTTTCTTGACGGCCTCTTGGGGCGTTTGGGGGGCATCTTCGGCCGTCTGGAGGCCATCTTGAAAGCTTTGGACCCATCGTTCGACGACTCGAGGCCCTTTTTTCTCCCACCGTCTTGGGAGTCTCTGAAACCCCGTTTGGCCCGTCTTCGGGCCCTCGTGGCGCGCCAAAAACCCACGCGACACACCCTGGGCCCGCGCAAGAGCGCCTGGGAAACCAAGGGCCTGGGCCCTTAAGAACCTTACAACCCCCCTGCCTCTCAGGGTTGCATGAGCCTTGGCCTCAGGGCACTCCTCAACATGCTGAAGACACGGTGGCGGATCTTGGCTACGTATACCATCGCGCCCCCATCTTGGGACCAAAAGTCTCCCTCCATATAAAAGGCCTGCATTATGAAACACGCCGCTAAAGCCTCGCGCACATCTCCCGTCATATTAAGATCGCATTCAGATCGAACCTGGCGCTGCGTCCACACAGCCATGCTGCTATTCGCCGCTCCCCCGTTATGGTCACTCGCCAGCGTTTCGCAGCACTCGCGCGCTTCCGCGAAACTACCATAGGTTGGCGCCATCTCCATCTCCCATTGTCCCGCATCTGTGGTTGTATGATCCTTGGCACGCGTGCCTCTTGTATTCGAACCCTGTGGCCCAAGATGCCCAACCCCGAAAGTAATATTGATGGCGTGGAAACGGAGGGGGCACGAGTGGGAAGAAATACTCGAATCCCCAAAGCACCGCCTTTTCTGAGATCAACATTGATGTCGGGGGCGTGGGGGTCATTCAGAATCTCCCTCGAACGTGTAGGGGTTTGAAGTTAAATTGTCCATCTACTGGATCCCTGAGATGCGGGCGTTTCAACCTCGTCGCGCCAGAGGTGTTCGCCCAGAACTTCGGGCCCCCGCAGCCTCGCAGTCTGATCCCTGGCTCGGAAAACGCTGCAGAAAGATGATGTCTAGAGCTGCAGTCGAGATTTCTCGCGATACTCTGACGTGTCCGCAACGTCGGATCTCAGGGACCCCTCAGTTCCGACGTTGCGCAAAAATTGCAACGTCGCGGGATCATGGCTGGGGCCCTTGATCCCACCTTTCTGCACCCTCTTGCGGGCGTGAAGACTCTGTGAAGGCCCTGGGGCTCGAAACCAGGCACCAACGCCCAGTGTGAAGAAAATGCGCCGCATGGATCGGAGGATGCGGGGACAGCAAGCGACAAACAACCATCGAGGACACATGGGGGATGCCCTGGTCATGCCAACAATCGTCAGAACGCCGAAACCAGCTTAGTGCTGCATGGTTGTGGGGTCGATGTGGGCGCCCCAGACGGCCACATTGACCATAGCCACAGCCAATTGTCCCTGTCGAGGTCGGTGAGTTCTTCCCCGAGGAGCCCTCCCGAAAAATCCGCGCCGTCGTGGCCGTGGTCCTCTGCCGTGCCCGGAGAGGGGCTGGCCCCCCCGGGAGGGCCGCAGCCGACGACCGCTCGGACGTCCGTTCCGCGTGCACGTTGCGATGTCGTGCGCGTAGCTACGGTAGAGGGAAACAATTACTGAACACTCCCCCTCCCCCCCCCAAACCCAATGTTGGCACGCGCGGGGGAGACTGCGGTCGAAGTGCATCTCATCAGACTCACCGCCAACTTTGAACATTGGGGGGAGGGGGAGGCGTTGACGGATGAATGTGGCATGTGTTCGCTAATTTGTTCCGAGGCCTGTATCTTTCGCGCGAGGCTCCACTCTGCTCCGCGAGGGCCCTCGCCGAGAAGGCGCGCGCACGCCCGAGCGACGCCAGGCCAGAGAGGGCCACGCGGCATCGAGCCGCGACCGCCCGCCCGCACCCGACGGGCGCGGGGCCCGCGCGGAGAGGCCGACGGCGGCGCCCTCCTCCTCCTCCTCCTCCTCCTCCTCCTCCTCCTCCTCCTCCTCCTCCTCCTCCTCATCCTCCTCCTCCTCCTCCTCCTCCTCCTCCTCCTCCTCCTCCTCCTCCTCCTCCTCCCCCTCCCCCTCCCCCTCCTCCTCCTCCTCCGCCTCCTCTGGGCGGCGCGGAGACCGGGAGGGCGAATGGCGCACACCACTCGGAGCTCGCCCTGCGGAGCGGCTCGGGCACGGCAGGCACCCCTCGCTCCTGGACGCCCGAGGCGGGCACGGAGCACCGGGCACCACGCCCGAGAGCACGCGCTGCCCCAAGCCGACGGCGGCCGCTGTCGGGCAGGCGGCCTCCTGCCTCGAGTGAACCACGCCCGCGGCGGCGCGGACAGCGAGCCCGGTGTTTTTTATATAAAAAACAGGGACTGCTGTTGGGCATCGCACCCAATGTTTCCACACCCGGTTCGATCGTCCCGATCTCTGGGCAGCGCCGAGCCCGCGAGCCGGCGCGGACCGCGAGCCCTGTTCAAAATGAGCAGGGACTGCTGCTGGGCATCGCACCCCGTGCTTCCACACCCGGCTCGATCGTCCCGATCTCTGGGCGGCGCCGAGGGGGGGCCACCGCCAGCGAGGTTGGGTGGGCCGCCGCCCCACCGCCTCGAGGGCACGGGCCTCGCCTCCCAGGCACGCTGGCGCACCGCGGCGAGACACCACGACGGGGGGGGGGGGCGTTGGCCGTCAGCGGCCTCCCCGGGCCCTCCTCGCTGGGCCCGTGCCCAAGGCCCCAGGGCCGGCTTGTCCCGAGTCAACTCGGGATGAAAACTGGTGGGGACTTCCCAGGAGCCCGCGTGGAAAAAATCAAGCCATCGTGTCGGGGCTCCCCCGTCTGAGACATACCCCTATCCCTATGATTGGCGTCGCCTTATCTCGGTGCCGATCTCAGGGATTCCCTCAGTTCTGAGGGTGCGTTCCTAAGATTGTGGTCGACTCTGAGCCTGTCAATTTGTGGGGGTTGGGATCAGCGCGAGGCCGGTTATGGGCAATTGCGTATCCACTGCCCCTGGCCAGGCCCATCCTGGGACCAGGAGCGATGCATGCACGCCCTCCTGGCTTAGCCGGGGAGACCCGTGTGCACCAGTCCTGGGGCCACGATGGGACTGGCCGGGATCGGTGCCTGCGCACAGTGCTCCCCGCTCGGCCAGCGCCGCCCTGGGACTCCCGGGGGCGTCCAAGACCTCCTCGGCCCTCGACCGGAGAGGAAGCCAAGACCAGGCCCAAAATCGGATCGGGATAGATTCAGGGGTCTCTGGGGTCCGGCGGCTCTGGAGGGCGTCTCGGGAGCTGGGACCGTTCCAGAGCGCTCCTGCACGCTCTGGGATCGCTCCGGCACGCTCTGAATGGATGCGTCGCGATCCTGGGCGCCCCCCACTTCTCTTCGACATTCGACTTCTGGGCGCGAGCTGGTGACCCCCCTGCCAGCGGCCCCCTTCGACATACCCGGCCCAGGCAGCCCCCAAGGGGGTCACCACCAGGGGGGCCGCCACTTCCTGGAGGAGGCGCCAATTCCTTGAGGAACCTCCAGAACGCTGCAGAACCACCACAACGATCCCAAACGTCCAAAAACCTCCTCGAGCTTCGATCCTGGCATCGATCCTGAGGAAAAACTGGCGAGCCCCCGCCGGCGACCCCCCTCGGCGCTGCCCGACTGTGGTGGACCCTGGAAACGACAGGGCATTTCTTACCAAGTCCGTTGTGCCGTGTTTGTGCTGCTTCCGGCGCCGTTTTTGTTCCCTGGTTACGTCGCCGTTTTTGTTAGGCTCCAGCTCTGGTTCCAATCCCGGGGCCGCTTTTGTTCCGTTTCCGGGGGCCTTTTGTTTTACAGCTTTCATGCTCCAGAGAAATAATTTTTGACAAAGGTAAAATATCATGGGACAACAAATCACATACATGACAATGAATGTCCAAGGTCGGCGCTGAACCCTTCTCCTGGCGCTGATTTCTTGGATCGGCGCTGAACCACCCTCCCTTACACGCGGAGCGAGCCACGGGCGGGGAGCTCCAGCGCCAATCCGAGAAACCCGCGCGGAGCCCCGAAGGTTTATGCTTATGCTGTTTTCTGTCTTCTACGGGACGAAGGAGGACATAATACTAGTACCATGCGTCCTCCTCGGAGGCGCGCGTCCGACCCGAACATCAAATATACCCAGCTTGAAGTACATCGTTTCCCGCGCGGTGTGGCCAGAAAGCGCCCGCCACGACGCATATACTACAAGGTGTTTCGGTACGCGCGTCGCCCCCGCAGGGGGGCGACGCAGACCTGGCACCTCTGAGTACGTTGGGGTGACGCCGAGGCGACCGAGAAAAACCGCAAACTGCTGCACTGCCGCTTCCGGGGCCCAACCCCTGCTTCGAGTAGGAAATCGACTACAGAATTGATGTACCCCTGAATTGATTTTCCGTTGAATCTGCGAGAAAATCGTAGGATGCTCCGTAGATCGACTGAGCATTCTAAATAATTTGAATCGCTTCGATGAAGAGATCAATTTCGGGGTAAATCGATTCTGTAGTCGATCGATCCACCCCTGCTGGCGCAGAACGGCGGCCGCGCCGCACCGCGGGCGGCCCCCGCAGCCTCCCAAAGCCTCTGGAGGAGCGACGCCCTCGCCGCGCCCGCCGCCGGGGCCGAGCACCGAGAGGGCCGGCGCGAGGGAGCAAGCCCGGGCGGACTTCGGGCGCGGCCTCACCGACCGACCCCTATAGCTATGATCATCCCCCTCCGTGACGCCGTCCTCGCCCTCCAAGCTCCCCTCCGGCCCTCCGGCCGCGCGCACACGGCGTGGGGCGACGGGCGAGGGGGGCGTCACGGAAGGGTCGGTCCGGCCACGCACTGAGGATCGGCACGAGCCCGAACATCCGGCGCCTTGGAGAAATCGAAGCGGCGGTGTTCCGTCAGTCTCGGCCTCTCGAGGCCCTTGCCGGGCCTCGGGACCGACGGAAACGACTCGGGGTGAAACACCAGTCCCAGGGAGATGGTCGAGAGGTCGGGGGCCCGTGCCTCGGAAAAAAAATCGTGACGCCGGACGTCTGGGTGGGCACGATCGCGCCGCGTCTGCGAGGCCCACTGGAACTGACCCGTTCCCTCCCCTGGGCCGGGTCTTCTGGAGCCCCGCGGTTCCAGAGGGCACCCTTCCACGCGGGACGCTGCGAGGCGAGGCCCCGCGCAGGAGTCCAGAGGCAAGCCCATGCCGGCGAATGCACTTGTGGATGAGATCCGGGCGTCGCAACTATTCACACTGGGCATTTTCGCCGGGCTACAGGCCTGGGACCCTCAAAGATCGATCTGGCTCGCAAAATGCAGCAGACGAGGTGGGGTCCGAGGCTCTGGTCGTGTTTTTTTTTGGCGGCACTGCAGCTTTTCGCAGCGTGGGGATCTCAGGAAGGCGCACGGCTGGGGCCATCTCGGGGGGGGGGGGGAGAAAAAGGGTTCCCTTTCCGCTTCTCCCCAACTCTTTCCAGGGGTGAACACTGACCACATCTGGGGGAGGAGGAGGAGGAGGAGGAGGAGGAGGAGGAGGAGAGGAGGAGGAGGAGGAACACGGACCTCCTCCTCCTCTCCTCCTCCTCCTCCTCTCCTCCTCCTCCCCAAATCTTTCCAGGGCGGATCCAGCCCTCGCATCTTCTTCTCATCTGATCCACGGCGCGTCACAGGGCATCCTCCCGGGAGCTCCTGCGCATCTCTGGGGATGCCAGGGGAGGAAACGGCGCCTCTGCAGCAGCGATGGTCAGCCGAGACCGCCCCCAAGGCTGTCTGTATCCGTCGGACCCCCCTCGGGGCGCGAGTCCTGGAAGCGTGCTGCTGGACCTCCTGCACTGTTTCGTGTGCTGTCTTCTGCGTTGACCTCCCTATCTCTGTAGTCCTGCCTCCTGTTTCATGCGCACGGGGGGGGGGCCGACCTTGAAGGGAAACTGGGACACACAAATAAATACACACAAATAAAAAGATTCCCCATATTTTCCTATATTTTCTTGGTTTTTGTCTTCCCCCCCACTTCCCATATTTTCCCATATTTTTGGGGAAATCGACGATTAATTGTGTCTGTGTGTTTTTCCCCCTCCTGAGACCTACCACACAGCAAAACCGCGAGGGGGCGTCCCCCAGCCGCCTGGCGCCGCCCTGGGCTGCCTCAAGACAAGAAGCGCCATCAGACGGCAAGGTGGGCCTTTATGAGACCATCAGGCAGGCCCAGAAGAGGCTCTGAAGAGAACATCAAGTTCTTCAAGAGCCCCAAGAACGGCCGAAGATGGCGCAAAGACGCCTCTAAGATGGTCGAAGCTCCCAAAATGCCCTCGAGCGGGCAGAATCCGCCGAGCCTGTCGGCGTGTGATGGGCTTGTCCGTTCAAGTCGTCATCTCCGTCATTAGTTGGTCGTCGTCTCTGTCGTCCCCTTTCCCTGCCCCCCCCTTTCCCTGGGCTCGTCGAAGCTCCCCCCTTGCCGAGGGGCCTCCGCAGCGCGCCAGCCAAAACAAATCTGAGCAACGTCGCAACTGAGTCGAAGGGAAGCCCCTTCCCTTCGAACCCTCCCCGCCGAGGGAGGGGGTGGGGGGCGGGTCCCGAGGGGGGGGGTTAGACGCCCCCCCCTGGGAGTCCTGGAGCTCAAGAAAAGCCCCAAGACGGGCCAAGAGTGCCCCAAGAGACCCCGAAGACAGTCCAAGAGAACCCCGAATTGCCGAACGATCTGTCCAAGATGCCTTGACGGCCTCCAGACGGCCCAAGAGGCCTGCAATGCGCCCCAAGAGGCCTCCAGGAGCCTTCCCACGAGAGCCCCAAGAAACACAAATCATGGATTTCCCATACGTTTTTGGAAGATTTGGGCGGTCTTGCCTCTTCCGCTTCCCGACGCGCCAAGACGGCCCAAGAGACCCCCAAGATCGCCCCGAGACGGCCCGAGAGGCCCCCAAGAGGGTCCCCTAACGGCCGAAGAGGGCCCCAAGACGGCCCAAGACGCCTCGAAGACGGAAGCGCCCATACGGGGGACCCGAACGGACATTTCGAGCTCTCAGCCCCAAGAAGCCCCCAAGAGGCCCCGAAGAAGCCCGAAGAGGCCCCAAGAGGCTCCCAAAGGGCCACCAAACTGCCCCAAGACGGCCCAGGAGAGCCCCAAATTGCCCAGGAGGCCTCCAAGAGTGCCTCGAGACGGCGCAAGAGGAGCCCTGGACGGCCCAAGACGGCCTCAAGAGAGCCCCAAGCTGTCCCAAGAAAGCCTCTGGCCTCCTCCTCTTGCTCCTCTTCCTCCTCCTCCTCCTCCTCCCCCCCTACACACACCCACAGCGAAACCAGAGATCCGAGCGGCCGCCGCCTAGAAGAGTCACATGAGTCTTATAAACCGCCAAGCTCAAGGAACCTGAAGAGGAGATCCTTCTCCTCCTGCTCTCCTCTGCCTCCTTCACCTCCATTTGCTTCTCCTCCACATCCTTTTCCCCCCTCCTCCTCCCTCATCCACCTCCTCCACCCTTCCTCCACCTCCCACTCATCTTCCTCTCCCTGCGCCCCCCCTGTTTTCATCTTCGTCGTTCTCAGGATCGGCGGCACCAGCCGTAAGGCCTTTGCAATAATTTGAAAACCTATGGTGGTTTCAATGTGTTTGTCTACAGTCGGCCCGTATCATGAGGATCCGCGATAAGGATGCAGGGGCCTTGGAAGGCCATTTCGAAGCCTTTCGGGTGGGGCGCGGCCAACGAAAGTGGCCAAGGATGGACCGAGGAGGCAAGGATGCAAGCGCACCCTTGGGAAGGTTGCCAATCCTTCCTGTGCGGGTTGACTGTATTCCACGTTCTGCTCACATGGTGTCCCAAGATCGCTTCAAGACGGCCCCCTGGAGCCCGAGAGGTGGCGCAAGACGGCCCCAGGGTGACATCAGAAGGCCCCAAGATGCCGCCAGTCGCCCAGGATGACCCACGAATGCCACACGATGACCCCAAGATGTTCCGAAAATGGGCCCTGATCAAGATAACCCCAATAATGCCCAAGATGGCCCCAACGTGACCCCAGGTGGTCCTCAGAAGCGCCCCGGCATGGCCCCAACACTTTTCCAGCATGGTCACAAGACGACAGAGGAGGAGGAGGAGGAGGAGGAGGAGGAGGAGGAGGAGGAGGAGGAGGAGTAGGAGGAGGAGAAGGAGGAGAGGGAGGAGGAGGGGGAAGAGGAGGAGGAGGAGAAGGAAGAGGAGGAGGAGGAGGAGGAGAAGAAGGAGGAGGGGGAGGAGGAGGAGGAGGAGGAGGAGGAGGAGAGAGGAGGAGGAGGAGGAGGAGGAGGAGGAGGGCGAGGAGGAGGAGGAGGAGGAAGACCGACTTGCACGCTATGAGTGCAGAAACCGAGCCCAGAACGACCGCGACGGGGCGCCAAGACCCACGGCCGCGCCACAAGACGGCCCAAAACGGCGCCAGGACAGCACACTAAGTTCCCAATACGCACCAATGGTGCCACGAGAGGACACCCAAGATGCCTCCGAGAGGGCGGCCAATGTGTGATAATGTGTGTACACATCTATATACCTGTATATTATACATATCCTGTTATACATATGCACGTTTGCTTACAACGATACACACATGCATGCATGCATATGTGCATACCTGCATGCGTGCATGCATACGTGCATACGTGCACACATGCATGCAACAAACAATACATATGTACATACAGCTGGATCACATAGCGTTGCACGCCATGCACAATGGCCATGGAAGCTCGACATTCAAGCGGAAGCCGCGGCGGAAGGGCAGGACGCTAAATAATTTACAAAAACGATCACTCACCGTCGCCTTGTTCGACATCGTCGCCGTAATCATATCATGGAAAGAGCGCCAGTGGATTACCCAATTGTTGTGGAAGGGGGGGTTTTCGACCCCCCCCCCTCCCCGCCTATTCCCCGATCCGCCGTTCGGACCCCCCCACGCCCCCCCCCCTTCGCGCTGGAGAGCGGGAGGGGGGGGGTCCCCCCCCCCCCCCCCCCCCCCCCCTCTTTTTGCGCCAGACGGGAAGCCGGAGAGCGGGGAGACGCAGGGGAGAGAGGGAAGGGTGTGGGGAAAGGGGAGGAGGGACTCGGGGTGGATTTCTGGCGAACCGACCTCCACGTACAAAAAGGACTCTCGCCGGCGTTGCGTCTCTGAACCTCCAGCGATGTCCGATCTTCTGGTTTCGGCGCTTCGGGTTTACTGCTTAGGGCTTAGGGTTCAAGGCTTTAGGGTTCGGGGCCTATGGGGTTAGAATTCGAAGCTTGGGGCTTCGGGTTCGGGGCTTAGGGCTTAGGGTTGGGGCATAGGGTTTAGGGTTTAGGGTTCGGGGTTTAGGGCTTAGGGTTCGGGGCTCAGGGCTTAGGGCTTAGGGTCTACTAGGCGTGGCCACGAGCACACCTGGACCGCGAACCCACCTGCGGTGGCCGTCACTCCCACCCGCGGTGGCCGTCACTCCCACCCGCAAGCCACCCCACCATAGAGATCATCTCTCCCCTCGTGACAACCACATCGACTACAACGTCGACGACGACGACGACGACGACGACGACGGCGACGAGTGATGTGCGATCCAGTTGGCACGCGAGTGCTCGAACGGGCGGGAAGAGTCGGGTCGGGCGGGAGAGATTCTACACGCATGCGCAGGAAATGCGACGTTGTGGAATAAATGGATCGGGTCGCAACGGGGCCTGGGCACGTGGTAATGTGAAA